AGTTTCTCCTCATGTCATTTTATGGTGAGACCAGGTCAGCTGTCCTCTGTATAGACTAGTCCAGTGTAAGGGCCTTTGGAAGTGGGAATTAATCTAAGGGTCAGTTTACCTTCAATTTCACTGTGAATGAGCTAGTTAAGAGCACCTGATAAAAAGGTCCTTCCATCCAGATTGGAGACAGTCTATTAAATTATGTCCTTTTCCAGTCCTGATTGTAGGCTGTGAGGCATCTGTTCTTCGTCCAAAGATAGATTACTAAGATAAGCTTCAGAAACAAACTTAGGGTGTTCTTTAAGAATTCAATTAAAATTTTACATTAATATCACATAACAGCAAAGAACTATCCAAGAAATGAGTCTTATTACCTCCATTGGTAGACCTCCATTAACAAACTGGGATTTAACATTTATTGAAACATCTTTTTCTCCCTAAAATCACCCTCATTTTTACCAAGTATAACCAAATTAAGACTAGTTTGTTTGCAAAATAGTTCTGGTCTCAATAAACCTGACCTGATGATTTATATAACCATAATTGATCATAGACTTTTTGCTTTGCTGAAACTTTTATAGAGTCTCAGACCGAACTTTTAAAATAAAATCTTTCAGGGCTAGGAAAGTCATGCCAAAGGCTTATCACAGATTTTGCCTAACAAATCTGGGTGAAGTCTTCACTTTTCAAGGTCTCAAAAATTCCTTGAGATTTCTGTACTTGCTAGTGACATAACCTTCCTAACTTATCTGGTAAAGTTATTGGAAACCTAAGAGTTTCCAATCTCTGGAGGGGTCAGATAGAAAAGATAATAATTTCCATTTGTTTATAATTTTACCAAATTAATGCCATAATTAGCTTGAGGTGAATATTCCCCCTACTTACTGATTCAGACCTGTAAATTTTTTCAGATAGAAACCATAAAAGTTATAAGCATATTCACCAGTTCAGTCCTTTTGTTAACCTTTGTAAAGTCATCAGGTTTCCCATTAGAATACCAGAACATGACAGAATTTTAGGAACTCCATATAAGTTCTGCTGCTGCTGCTGCTAAGTCTCTTCAGTCATGTCCAACTCTGTGCGACCCTTTAGATAGCAGCCCACCAGCCTCCCCCATCTCCAGGATTCTCCATGCAAGAATACTGGAGTGGGTCGCCATTTCCTTCTCCAATGCATGAAAGTGAAAAGTGAAAGTGGAGTTGCTCACTCATGTCCGACTCCCAGCGACCCCATGGACTGCAACCTACCAGGCTCCTCCATCCATGGGATTTTCCAGGCAAAAGTACTGGAGTGGGGTGCCATTGCCTTCTCCGCACATAAGTTCTAGGATATCTATATTAGTAGCATTTATCATACAATATAACCTGAGAGGATTTATTATGCATTTGATAATAATTCCTTTGTAATTTAACCAACCAAATAAACACAACTAGTTTAATATATCTCTCTTTAGGATGTTTCAGGGGCCCTCTGAAGCATCCCAAAGTTAACTAGAGGTCAAAAGAACTTCAATAGAATTTGATTTAGGAAATTTTGTCCCCCCAAAATCAAAAGGGTTTAGAACAGTCAGTCAGATTTAGCCAATGCTGGTGGGTGTGTCACTTAGCTTTCATGTGTCACAATGGGTGTACATACCAAGGCTCAAAGTCTAGTGAAAGTGGATTCTGCCATTGTGGACTTCATTGGTTCTAACCAGTTTTCCTGTGGCTAAGTCATTCCAAACAGAATCTACTTACCCAACTAATTGTAATCCAATCTTAGAAAATCCTTATCATGCATAACTCACTCATTTCACTGCTTTTTCATTTCTCACACCTTTACAAATTAATCTCAACAATATTATCCAGAGACAAAGACACATACTGAGACACACACATACCCAGACAGCCACAGCACAAGATTTGGCTTCGTTTCCTAAACTTAGTCATGAATCAGATGTTACAATATAAAATTCACTAGTTTATAAATAACAGTTGGGATAAATAGCATATTTAAAAGCTTCTTCCCATTTGCCCTTCAGTCTTAAGAATTAGAGATGGTCTAGATTAGTGTCCCTGAGAGCCTGATCTCAAGGCAAGGAAGAGAAAATCAAGCTCTAACAAAACAGCATCAGGTCTAAACAAAATGGCAGCCACACAAAGCAAAATGGCCATCATAAATCACAACACAGAACACATACATATACCCAACCATCCCAGTCAGACACCCCCTTAAATGCAAGATTATATTCTCTCAGAAAACCTCCTATAGAGACAGAACTTCAGATCCAAGTTCTAACAGAGTGAATGAAAGTAATCTCAAGTCTTCACAGATTTCAAAGGGAGAAAAGGAAGCCAGGCTGAAAGAAGAGGGGGTAGGAGGCGGGATGGGGGAGCAAAAGGGGTGACCTTATAGACGTCTCTTGCCACCTGCAGATACCCAGGTGTTATGGGACTTCTGGACCTCCAGAGAAGGGAGGACTAGAAATCGGCCCTACTTAGAAACCAGGCCAGACCAGAACAGAACCAGAATTCGAGTTCTCTCCCAAGCAGAGGTCATTGGCCTCTGATCCTCAGCTCAGTCTGAGGTCCTTCGAGCAGATTCCTGTGTCTAAGACTGGGGGACTAGAAAAAATGGTAGGATAGGAAGGGTTAAGGAGAGGGAAGGTGAGAGAGGTCAGTAAAGTCTCTTGTTCCTTACCCGGTCTGGGCACCCTGGCCAGTTGTCTGCGTCAGGAGGAGACCAAGGACAAAAGGGTCCCGGTTGGAGCTGCTGGGTCTGGTCCATCGGCAGGCAAGCTGGTCCCCAAGCACCCTGAGTGGTCAGGATGTCAGTTGAGTACCCAAGTGGTCAGGATGTCAGTCGTGGTGAAGAAGAGTCCCCACCAGAGTCACTACTTGTTGCAAGAAGGGGGACCCTTTCCAGGGCCCAGAAGCAGGCTCTTGTTTAACAGTCAGAAACGAATTGTCTGAGGAGACACATGTGCTGACAGAGCAAGAGGTTCTGTTGGGAAAGGGCCCCCGGGCTGAGAGCAGTCGGCTGAGGGAGCCCAGGGAGCTGCTCTGCCCCGTGGCTCACAGTCTCAGGTTTTATGGTGATGGGATTAGTTTCTGGGTTGTCTCTGACAAATTAGGGATTTTTGTCCTTATTTAGCTTAGAAGTGTCAGTGCATGATGGGTACTTCTTATCTATAAGGCTAATTTTATTTTTAATAAGATCATAATGAGCAAAGGTTACATTTGGACGCAGGAGATTCCCACCTTTTCCCACCGTTCTTTGTCTTCTGTTCAGACCCTTATCACCCAATTTCATATCAGTCTGAAGATTTCTGCTTTGCTTTGTCTGCCTATGGACCCCTGCTGTTTACAAGCTGCGTGATTTCCTGCCACCTGGTCCCTGTCCCCATTTCTCTGCTCATATCTAGCTACCTGCATGCTATAAGATTTCCCCCTCAAGGTGTCTGGATTCTTAAAACCTTAAAAGTGGCAGAGGGACTTATGGTCCATCTTCTGTAACTGCTTCAAGCTGACCATGGGCTACCTGTGGGTCCAGATCTCCTTGCTGTTTGTCAGAGATAGGGTTCTAGGGATTGTGTGTAAACTGTTTTTGATTTAAAGCTAAATGAAACTGGACATAAGATCCCATAAGTGATACTTTTACTACAATGGCAAAGTCTCTACAGAATAATAATAAGTGCTGCTGAAGATGAGCAGCAACTGGCATTCTCATTCTTTGCTGATTGGGATGCAAAATAGCCATCTTGGAAAACAAGTTTTCAGTTTCTTGGAAAGTTAAGCATATGCTTGGCAGTGTGATACCCAATAATCCCACCTGTATGTATTTACCCTTGAAAAATGAAAACTCATGTGCACACAAAAACATATATATTACATAAATATTTAAAGCAGTTCTGTCCACAGTTGTCAAAAACTGGAAACAATGCAAATGGTCACTAATGGGTATACCCACACAATGGAATACCACTCACTAGTTTAAAAAAATAGTGCCATTGATCCCCACAACAACTTGCATGGCTCTCAGAGGCTCTGTGCTGAGTGAAAGAAGGCAATCTCAAAAGCTGACACACTGTGTGATTCCATGTATTTGGCCTTCTTGACAAGACGAAATTAAAGGGGTAGGGAATAGATAAGTGGTTGCCAAGTGCTAGGCCTGGGGGTATGACTATAAAGGTTTGGGGGTTGATGGAACCACTCCGTCTCTGTATTGTGGTGGTGGTTACACAAATCTATGCTGTTATTGTAATTTGTAGAACTGCACACCCCCAAATAGTCAATTTTACTATATGTTAATTTAAAAATAAAATTTAAATATATGTAATAAAAATTAGAAGATAATGCACAAAATTGCAGTATAATTTTTTAAAATTGTAATTCTATGGGCAACTTTCTTATTTTTCCAATTTTGTATGAACAAACTATTTTTATAATTCAATGTCTAAACAGCAATGTTTGCAGTTTGGGAAGACAAATTGCCTTCATGCTGCAATTGTATCTGAAGGCACTGTGCATCCTGGTCATTGAGGGCAGTTCATATTGCGTCCAGGAGTCTGTTTATGCAATTAATAAAGTATTCAATTCACTTTAGAAAGTGGAAGTAAAAGTAATAATAGAATTTTTGCTTCTTTAAAAGTCTGTTTTATCCAGATAATTTACTCACATAGAATTTCCCATTCACTTTTGATGCCAAATAAATGAGACTGTGCCCAAAAGGTAATAATAACCCATGCACACATGCATTATCTCGTATTCTCCAATCCCAGGAAGGTGAGTGGGGTTAGTATATACAGTTCTCTTTGCAGAGAGGAAACTGAGGTAGAGGAACATTTGTGACTTTCCAAAAATGATACAAAAGGTGATATTACTATATTGTTTTCTTTTGAGTCTTTCCTGCACATTATTAGAAATGAAATAAATGTTGTATGTCTTGGGAGAAAAAATACTTATTTCCTCACTGAAAATTCAGAAGTTCTTTGACTGTAACGAAACATTCTCATTTGTTTGGTTTTTCAGGATTTTATATTGCACACTGATTCTGCCTCTGCACTACCTTCAACCTTTCTTTTCATACATCTTCCTCAACCTACAGCTCATGGTCCTGCAAGTTCTTAATCTTTATTGGAGTTACTTCATCCTGAAGATGCTCAAAAGAAGTATATTCACGAAGGTAAGGGCCGTTCAGGTTTTATTGCTCTTAGCAAGTAGATTTCATTGCCAGAACAAAGGTGAGGCCCGGATGATGGAACATTCTACTTAATTTATACTTAACCAGAATTTTTTCTGGATTTGATTGTTTTGATGAGAATTTCTCCAAAATATTTTTTAAAATATTATAACAGAGATTGAGAATTTGTCTTTTCAAGTTCTTTATGTCTGACAGGCCCCTAATAAGTAATTTTGAACATACAAATGAATAAACAATTTTGGGAAAGAAGTCACAGCATTTTGGATGGCCAGTTGCAAAATAATTTATGAATCTGTTTATGGTCATTAAGTAGATTTCCAAGGTGTTCTTAAGAAATTGCTTTTATTAGAGGACAAGGATTTTCTGGAAAATTTTTATTCAAGAATTGATTGCTGCTTCTTGAAGAAAGTCCTAACGAGTCTAAATTTGCTCCAGTTTGGGGCAGGCTTTATGGTGACAGTTCAATGCTGTTTCAGATCCTTAGTTCACCTTGGCTGATCGTCCAGTTTGTGCATAATGCTCTCCCCCTGAGCTTTCTTCTCTCTGAAATTTTGTCCATCATTTGCTGATACTCTTTTTCTGAAACTATTTTCTTCCCTAAGAAATGAATAATACATTTTAGACAATGGAAGGGAATTTTTTTGTTTGTTTCATTTAGAATTCTAGTTTTTAATTTCAGAACAGAGGAGGAGATGGCTTCAAGAAATGAATAAGACACAATCGTTGCTTTTGGGGAAACAACCCAGAATCTAGTTGGGGAATATTCATCTACTAGCAACTGTATTTGTTATATAGAATGTCCTGTGCTGAAGAGAGGTCCCAGAAACTTGCTGTGAAAAACAAAAGAGAAATTGACTCAAGGTGACCAGGGAAAGTTTGGTTGTATAGATGAAATTTGACTGGAATTTTTAAGGCAAGTTAAAAAAAAATCAAGTCATAACTCCTTCCTTGCCTGGAAGTCATACACATGAGGGAATTTTAATTATAAATCTTTCAAGGTGAAAGTTACAGCTGGCCCACTTTTGGGTGTTACCTAATCCCTGTATAACATAGCATTGTATCATGATCAGAATGAGTGACATATGTAACAGATGTGCTTATAGTTTATCTGATAATTTCATTTTTAAAATCAAATCTCTGGTTAATTTATTTTCCTACTTTAGCCTTTATGTCTCAAAAATCATTAAAAAGTTGACAAGTGAAGTTCAGGTTGCCATAAATGACCTCTAGGTCTTCTAAATCTAGACAAAGGTATTGGAAATTAGGCTTCATCTGGATTAATCCCAAATCAAATCCTGAATTTTTTTTAAACTAAATTGATGATTTGAACTTGTTTTCCTGAGAAAAGATTCTTTTCTTTAGCTGAAGTAGCTTAGAAAATAAACCTCTCATTGAATGATTCTAGTTTATTAATGCTCTCAATAGTTTTTCTATGATCTCTGCAAAAATTACTTTATCCCTAAGTGTCAGGTACAGTTGAAGTAACTGAATTTGAGCAGTTAAGACAATCTGCATATCCAGGGGTTGGAAGGAAGGCAGGTCACTGAACTGAGCCTGCCCTGCCTTTGGGTCCAACCTTCCTAGAGCTCCTGTCCCAGCCAGAAGCAGTTCCCTTTTTAACTGGTCATTGTTGTTGTTCAGTCCCTAAGTCATGTCAGACTCTTTGCAACACTATGGACTATAGCTCGCCAGGCTCCTCTGTCCATGGGATTCTCCAGGCAAGAATACTGGAGTGGGTTGCCATTCCCATCTCTTGGGGATCTTCCTGACCCAGTGATCAAACCCACATCTCCTGGTGAGTGACAATAATTACAGGCTTGGAAGGGATCCAGGCAGAACAAAACTTGGAAACTAGAAAATACTCTTGTTTGGTTTCATCATGATTTTCATATTTCTGATCTCTAATGGGTAATACCAAGCCTGATTAAAAATCCTGTGGGTTGGGGAGCTGTGGACAGGAATTCCTGATTTCTCATGCCGTACTTTGGAAAAGCTGTTTCCAATTGCAGTTTGACAGCAGCAGTGGAGGCCCCCGCGGCCCTAATCCTTGCAGCCCTTATGACTTCAGCTGGCTTGCATGTGCACTCTGTTTTCCACAGCAGTGGCAAATCTGGCTGTGAAATCAGCTTCTTCCTCCAAAGCCATAAAGCCGCCTTTTAAAGAATGCTGTTTGAAAGCATAGTTGCATTGCAAAGGGGAGGAAAGGGATAGAGGCAGGAGCTGAAATTTTTAGAGGACAGCTAACGAGTCAGTTTTCAATTCTGTTTAGTAAATAGTTAGCATTTAACACATAACACAGTTGTTACTAAGGTGATTAATTCTTGATATTTATAAAATGGAATTGCAGAGGTTTGTAGGCCTCCAAAATATTTTTTAAAATCTTATAACAGAGATTGAGAATTTGTCTCTTCAAGTTCTTTATGTCTGACAGGCCCCTAGTAAGTAATTTTGAACATACAGATGAATAAACAATTTTGGAAAAGAAGCCACAGTATTTTGGATGGCAAGTTACAAAATAATTTATGAATCTGTTTATGGTCTTTATGAATTTGCATTGTAGATTGAAAAGATAAAAGTGATTATTCTTTAAAAAAAAATAGTGATTTTTTAAGAATAGGAAAAACTTATTTTCCCTAAGCAATAGGATTGCTGCATGCTTATGATGAATTTGCTATTAGAATAACAATATTGTTGTAATTTCAGGAAACTAACATATAAACACCATGGTTAGCAGGCAGCTTGCTGTTAAGAATAAGAATTGGCATTGAAACTTAACTGATTCCTATAAAATGGAGAATTTTGTGATGAACTACCAGCCCACACATCACATCGGGAAGTATGATGGGCTAACATATTCAGCTTACTCTCTTTGCAAACATGAGAAATACTTTCAGAGGAAATTAGAAGAAGCATAGCATGCTTTTGTTTGATATTACTTAGAACTTGATCATTCTTAAGTTTTTGTTTTCTTTCTTCTAAATATCATACTGGGTGCTGGCCAACTCAAGCATGTTTCTGTGACATCTTAGAATGGTACATCGCCAGAACATGGAGGTAGGACTGTAGCCTGCAGCTGTTACAGCCAGGCTGGAGAAGCCAGTGCCTTGGCAACTGGCCCTAGCCATCTGCTCTTGACAAGAAGTGTCTCTTTAAGTTCACAGAATGACACTTCAACACATGCAGAACTATTTTAGTTAGGGAAAGGAACACTCTAATAAGGGAAACTGAGGAAACTGAGGCTCAACCAAATTCACACAGTAATTGCATGGTAAGGTCAAGACTAGAAGACCCTGAATCTTTTAACTTATAATTATTGTTGTTGTTCAGTTGCTAAGTCATGTGCAACTCTTTGCAACCCCATGGACTGCAGCATTCCAGGCTTCCCTATCCTTCACCATCTTCCGGAGCTTGCTCTAATTCATGTCCGTTTGGTTGATGTTGCCATCCAACCATCTCATCCTCTGTAGTCCCCTTCTCCTCCTGCCTTCAGTCTTTCCCAGCATCAGGGTCTTTTCCAATGAGTCAGTTCTTCGCATCAGGTAGCCAAAGTACTGGAGTTTCAGCTTCAGCATCAGTCCTTCCAGTGAATGTTCAGGACTGATCGCCTTTAGGATTGACTGGTTTGATCTCCTTGCAGTCCAAGGAACTCTCAAGAGTCTTCTCCAACACCACAGTTCAAAAGCATCAATTCTTTGGCGCTCAGCTTTCTTTATGGTCCAACTTTCACATCAATTCATGACCACTGGTAACATCATACTTTTGACTATATGGACTTTTGTTGGCAAAGTCACGTCTCTGCTTTTTAATATGCTGTTGGTCATAGCTTTTCTTCCAGGGAGCAAGTGTCTTTTAATTTCATGGCTGCAGTCACCATCTGCACTGATTTTGAAGCCCAAGAAAATAAAGTCTGTCACTGTTTGCATTTTTCCCCCATCTATTTGGCATGAAGTGATGGGACTAGATGCCATGATCTTTTTGAATGTTGAAATATTTTTAAAATTTTGTTTATTTTTTATTGAAGGATAATTGCTTTACAGAATTTTGTTGCTTTCTGTCAGACATCAATATGAACCAGCCATAGGTATATATATATGTCCTCTCCCTGTTGAACCTCTGGAGCAGGACCAGATTAGAGTCTGAGCTGCCTCCACAGCAGGTCCAGAGACAGTGCAGTGTTGGAGGGCATATAAGGGAGGCGAGGTGGACTGTGACTCCAAGTGAGGGAAAGGATGCTGACAGCAGAAACTCAAGAAAAAATTTATTATTTTCACATTTTGAATGTTGAGTTTTAAGCCAGCTTTTTCACACTCCTTTCACCTTCATTAAGAGGCTGTTTAGTTCCTATTCACTTTCTGCCAAAAGGGTGGTGTCATCTGCATATCTGAGGTTATTGATATTTCTCCCAGCAGTCTTGATTCCAGCTTGTGCTTCATCTAGCTTGGCACTTTGCATGATATACACTGTGTATAAATTAAATAAGCAAGGTGACAATATACAGCCTTGAGGTACTCCTTTCCCAATTTTGAACCAGTCCATTCTTTCATGTCCAGTTCTAACTCTTGCTTCTTGACATGCATACAGGTTTCTCAGGAGGCAGGTTGGGTGGTCTGGTATTCCCATTTTTTAAAGAATTTTCCAGTTTGTTATGATTCACACAATCGAAGGCTTTAGCATAGTAAATGAAGCAGATATTTTTCTGGAATTCCCTTACTTTTTCTATGATCCAAAGGATGTTGGCAATTTGATCTCTGGTTCCTCTGCCTTTTCTAAACTCAACTTTTACATCTAGAATTTCTCAGTTCATGTACTGTTGAAGCCTAGCTTGAAAAATTTTTGAGCATTACCTTGCTAGCATGTGAAATGAGCACAATTGCTGTAGTTTGAACATTCTTTGGCATTGCCCTTATTTGGATTGGAATGAAAACTGATCTTTTCCAGTCCTGTGGCCACTGCTAAGTTTTCCAAATTTGCTGACATATTGA